CTGATCATTTCCAAAAATTAAGAAAAAAGGAGAGAAGGAAAAACTGTGTGGCAGAAACAGAGGAGGAACCAACTGAGAAGGAATCAATTCTGATGACAATGTGAACATCTCCCTACCAGGATGCTACTGATTGAAGAAATGTTAAATAGTATTAGTGGGTAGAATCATTAAAAGATTATCCAAATGCTCTTTCAAGATCAGAGACTTTAGCAGAGTTCGAAAAGTACCTTAAAGTGCTAATTGTCTGTTTGGTGTAGGGTTTTTACAAGCAGTAGATACCAGCCAGGCCCTTAGAGCATCCTGTGTTGGTCCAGCCCATGCCTAAGCTGGCCATGGAATGCTGGAGCTGCTGGAGACTGGCTGGGAGCAGGGACAGGAACTTCCCCTCCTCCTTGCCTCTGTGCTTTTGAACACAGGCACGTGTGGAGATCACAGGGGCTGGGACAGAGATAGGGCAGTGCTGTAGAAATCTCTCTAGGAAAGCTGTAACTTTGCCATGCTCAGAAAACAGACAGATTTTTCATGTTGTGCTGCACACCTGCCCAACACCACCAAATTGGTTTTATAAGGGTTTCACAGCAGTCCAACAGTGAAAAAGGGATCCCATATTGACTGTGAATGGAGTTTGAGCAGTGAAGAAGTGTGTTTGCATGCTAATTACAGCCTCTCTGTGGCTCCAGAGTGGTAAGAAGTTCAGAGAGAGAGCTCTCGAGCCCTGATTCTATTTTTTCAGCAATTCATGTGTGTAGTACACACAAATGTACTTGGAATTTTTCCTTAAACCAGCTAATTTGGATGGATATTTCATGCTATCAACATTTTCTTTCTTGAAACTTTGTATGGGAATAATAATTAGCCAACAGTACCTCTGGACATGTTAATTTTGAGTGCCTGTCTTACCTGTGGGAGAAGCCTGTGTCCCACTGAAAAGAGGAGTGGTGCTCTTGAAAACTTCTTAACTTGAAAATTGCTTTTTCTCTCTGTTTTTTCTCCTTTTTTCTCCTCACTCTTTCCTTGATCAGCTTTGTCTTATTCTAAAGTCTCAGAATCAAGAGAAAATAAGCTTTTAAACTGTGATGACAGGCCATGAAATAAAGTGAATTAACCTGGTGTAATGGACGAATGATTGACTACCATGGTGTGAACAGCTGAAGGACAGATGAGGAAATTAAGGAAAAATTGTATTTTGGAAATGAGAAATTTATTATTCATCTGCTTGATTTAATTTTTGTAAGTCGGATTGCTTTACATAGCTGAGGATGGCAGCTGTGTGATCATTGCTCTGATGGTTAAGGTTTAAAAAATAAAGAAGATGCATAATTATTTTTATAGTTTTAAAAATATATGTATGTATTCTAAGCTTCCCAAGTTAGTGCTAATGTGCCCATGGTCCTACCCGCTACCCATAAATAGTATTTATGTCTGTCCCATGCTGTCAGAGGCCAGCAGAGAGGAGGACGGATGGTTCAGCCTGCCCTGCTGTCTGGTGGGTGCTCTGCCCACAGCAGCACCTACAGACATGCAGGGAGATTGAAGCTCTGTGTGCTCTGTGCTTCTGTCACCCTGCCTTAAGTGCAGAATGAGAGCCCAAATAATTCAGTTTCTGCGTACTGGTCCCATGACATTCCCAGTTCAGTGTCTGCCTTGAGGTTTTCTTAACTTAGCTGAGTGTTCTGCACTCTCCCATACTGGCCATTTATCTGCCTCATCTTCTGGCTCTGGGAGACAGTTTCTTTTCCCCATGCATATGGCAGCAATTCAATATGCATACGACACCAGTCTGATCATATCATTTTCTCTTGCAGTAGTCCAACAGGCTGGGAAAAGGGCCAAGGAAATTTAAAAGGGAAAAACAGAAAACAAGGCAAACAAAAAGGCCAAAAACCATTTAGGAATTCCTGATGTCAAAGCAAGTAACAGTGCTGGTGGCACAGCTGGCACACATCAGTTAACAAGACACCAGCAGTGGCTCTCAGCAGCCAGCACTGGTGTGAGACAGACACACTGCCTGCAGCCAGGGGAGTGGGCACTGCTGCTCCTATCCTCACCATTCTGAAGGAAAATGCATGGGCTTCTTCCCTTCTCCCAGCATTGTCATCCCCCTGCCCGGGGACCATGGGCAGCATGGATTTTTCAGCACAGGGAGCAGGACCTGCCTGCCTGGCACACTCATGCTCCTTGGGCTTCACTCCCTTCTGGAGTGTGTCACTTGGTAGACCTTGCGAGTTCAGAAGCTCCCTAATTTTGACATGGTGTGAAGTTTATTACAATCTGGTGAAATGAGTCACTACCAAATCCATAGTTCTGCCTTTCTCTTTTCTCAGAGGTTTTCATGAGTGAAGTGAAAAGTTTAACCTTTCAAGTAACAGCCTTTTTAACAAACGTGCAGTGCTAGAGCAATACAATATATCTATAGTATGAAAGGACAGAGTTCTAGGTTAACTATTGCCTTTACCTCACAGCAACAAATCACAAGACCTTTAAATGAAAGCCCAATTTATTAAAAATACTGTTATGCTAGGGGGCCAGCATACTAAGGTAATATAAAAAAAGCTAGGGCTTGCTACTGCAGAAGTACTGAGACCTCTTGAAATCTGAGTATCTGGAAACACTGATTTAAATGGGAATGGGAGAAGTTTAACCCTTTGTAGAACCTGTGCAGAAATTTTCTATCTTAGTCTGGTCTTTTCTATCTTGGTCTGGATAAGGAATATCTAGCATCCTCAAAGAGTTTCTAGCTGGGATAAAGTCTCCAGACTGGGATTTAGATGTTTATTTTTAAAAATCAAATTGTCTAAATAATTCTGGTTGCAGATTTGATCATTTTAAGGCTTTCAGTAGGACTACTGACTATTTTTCAAGTCACCTGAAAAATCACTATCTATAACAAGATACTGCCAGGTAATATTTATTCCTTTTTGCCAGCTTGTGAGGGAAATATTTTATCCTGACACAGGCAAGTGTTTAAGTTTCATTATCTCCTGCCCTTTAAAACTGTAGTCCAAAAGGTGTATATTCTCAGTTTTTCAGTTCAGTTACACTCATTTGTTTGCAATCTTACCCAGTAAATTCAAAGATGTTTGTTACATATTGACAGCCATCCTTAATTTGATTAGATCAGATCTTTCCACTGATTTCAATGGCTTTTGGATCAGGCCCTTGCAGTGCAGGATATGTGGATTATTATTTCTGCCTATAAACTACTTTAGTGAAGTATACTTATAATGTTATATGAGTGCTTTACTGAGGATAGAGGCATAATAAAATGAATATGGTTTATTAAATAAAATCTCTGTCCTGTTGCAATAGGAATCTGGAGGGTTATATCTAAAACACATACAACAATTCAGGTGCTAAGGCTGGAAAAACTCCTGAGTTACAGCTGCAGAAATGTAGGATTTGGGGAAATACACTGATATCCAGATGAAAGGATCTGACCTTTTTTCCAGGTGGCTGTCAGTTCATCTCCATTATATAAACACCATATTGTATGTGGTTCTGATCAAGGACTCACCTGCTACCTTAAACCACACTACTATTATCATCTCAAATCTTCTTTAATTCTAATTTAAAACTAGGGGCTTATTTTTCATTTGGCTATAATTGGAGAAATTGCTTGTCCAGATCAGAAGTCAACACTTCTAGTCCTGCCTATTTGTTCTGAAGCTTCTGACATCCAAGGAGGCTGAGGCTCATTTTGAGCACTTTTTATTTTCAGGTTACCTGGGAGAAGGAGAAAGACCAGAGAGAAATGTGCAGTGCTACTGCTACAAAGTATCCTGTTAAAGATTATGGTCTTCCTACCAAGGTGTGGGCAAACTCTTTATTAAGAATAACTATTTTGACGTTTTTTTATCTCATGAAAGCTATATAGATAGCATCCAACAGGTATATATGTAACTAAACTTACTTACGGATTTTTAAAATGTAATTTAATTTGCATAAAATTTCAGGGTCTCCAATACTTTCTATCCCTGATGCTTTGAAAGGTCTTGCATTGTGAATGGTGAGATTATGGATTGAAAAATTGAATCAAGATTGATATATGTATATACATTCTGACACTTTTTTTCAGACCAGTTAAGAGTTTCAGACCAGGGGAATAAGTACTCCATATGAACAAAACCCATAGAACCATGACCCAAATTGTGCAAACAAGACAGGTGAAGGCAATTAATAAGAAAATGAGAGGACAAAGGATGGTTAATGAACAGAATGCACCTTTCTGTTTGTCTCACAGAGCTTATAAATTTTCAAACTAGGACAAGACAGAAGGAAAAGAAACTGGAAGTCTGGACATCACTGAAAGGAGGTGAAGAGAAAGCAGTGGTATGTGAAGAGGTAAGGGTGCTTGGGACAGCCTGGGAGACGCTGAAAGCCTGGCTAGAAGCCTCATCTTACGGTCCCTTAGGCAGAACAAAAGAACAACAGCAACACTTAGTGACAGGCTAGGGAAGGACAATTAAGGGGAAGGGCTGGAACAAAAACAAGTCTCGATGCCACTTTGAAGAAAAATACGTAGAGGACTTAGACTGAAAGCTGTGGTCTCCGTAAGCTTTTGTAAGTTGTTATGCTGGAGACAGCAGTCATGCATTTCACACGACATGAAGTTTATAAGCAGCTCGGGAGATGAATGGAATGGAAAATTGAAGGCTGGTTAAATTAATATAGCTATTAATTATTTTTTTCCTTCAGAAGGAACAAGCAGGTGGAGTTGACAGAACAATACTGTGGCCCCAGAAGTACACAATCCAAACCCCGGGCGGTTTGCGGCTCTGCTAAATAGTGCTGGCTGCGGTAGAATAAAGGGAGGTCCGGACGCATCTCTTTCAGGATGATGGTTATCTGTGAATTGGACACTTTTTCCGCTGTGAGCTGTGCACACAAGCGGCGGAGGCTGTTTTTCCGCGGGCGGTAGAACGGTGCCGCAGGGACCGAGCGCTCCGCGGGCTGGGGCTCAGCCCCGCTCGGCGGGACCCCCTCCCCTGACCCGTCCTTACCGGCGAAGCCCGGCGGGCAGCGGCAGATGTAGCCCTCGGCCCGGTCGTAGCGGAAGGCGGACGGCAGCCCCGGGACGAGCCCGTAGTGGCCGGCCCAGGAGCGCTCCACGCAGATTCCGCCGGAGAGGCAGGGGCTGCTGCGGCACTCGCCGATGTCCTGCTCGCAGCGGGAGCCCGCGTACCCTGCGGAGACACCGCCACAAGGACAGGGCTGTGACACTGGGGCTAAAACCCCCCCGCGGGCAGGGACACCTCCCATCAGGGCAGGGTGTTCAGAGCTCCATCCAGCCTGGCCGTAAACACTGCCAGGGATGGGGCAGCCACAGCTTGTCTGGGCAGCCTGTGCCAGTGCCTCACCACCCTCACAGTAAAGAATTTTTTCCTAATATCTAATTTAAACCTACTCTCAGTTTGAAGCCATTTCCCTTCGTCGTGTCACCACATTCCCTCTCCATATTTCTTGTAGTCTCCTTTTAGAAACAGGAAGGCTAGATGGTCTTTAAGGTCCTTGCAACCCAAACCATTCTACAATTCTATCATTCTGTGTGCTATTCTTCCCTTCCATACCCCAAAATATACACTGTGAATAGTAGCTGCACAAGGCTTCAGGCTTTGTCATGTGCTAAAAGTTTTCCTCAGCTCCTTGAAGGTGTGAATGTTCCCTTGCAGCTCCCTGCCAGGGCTTGGCAGCAGGACATTGATGTGGCTACTCTACATTAGTGAGCTGAGCTGTGCCACAAAGGATTTGTTTTGGTCTTTTTAGGCAGTAACGTGTATATTTGTGTGGGTAACAAGGCACTGCATTGTGGTTTAATACACTCTCAGGTTCTGAGAAGGTAGAGGAGAGCAGGGAGTATAAATAATTTGGTGTTTGCAAAGTGTTTCATCTGGAGGTTGAAGTGTTACAACGATCCCTGGAATCCTAAAAAATGTGAAGGGTTCTGCCTATTTTTTCCTTATCTGTTGCACCAAGACTTGTGTAGTGTAACAACACTGAGGCATTTAGGCCTTAGAGTGCTGTCTGTACCTCCTGCATCCTCTGTAAAGCTCACAGACGTAAACTGCTTAGAGAGACTTGTAGTTTGTGTGCTAATAGAGTTGAGTAGTCTCTCAAACACAGCACAGCACCGGCTCTGTGCCCCCACTGGGGTGTGGGCCTGTTTGCGAACAGCTGGTAGAGAGTATAACCTGAGGGTTTCATTGCCCGACAAGATTTTAGACTGGTTTAAAGGTTGTGTTAATGAACACTAAAACCTGGGTCAGCTGCAGCAGTGATGCATGTGTCACATGGTTTGAAGGATTAAGTAACTGGGAGATAGCTTCCAGCTTTGACTTATCTCCTGTCTTGGCACCATAATGCCAGTGCCTTTTGTTTTGCCCACTTCTGCTGTACAGGAGAATAAATTCTTAGCTGGAAAAGCAAATGACTTATCCAAAGAGCTCTGCCTTATGATGAGTGAAGCCCATGTAAACATAAGGCCATAGAGGACTTTTGAGGTTATGGAGCTTAAATCTTTTATTGTATCAGGGAAAAAAAAAAGAAAAAAAAAAAAGAATCTCTACTACTACCACTCAAGGAATATTTATAGAAGAACTTGGAGCTTACCTGGCCAACAGTGGCACGTGTAATTGTCAGCAAGGTCCTCACAAGTGGCATTGTTGTAGCATGGTTGTGACCAACATAAGGGAGCGAGGGTCTCACAGTGCGATCCCATAAATCCAGTCCCAGTGCAGTTGCAGCTGTATCTGCAACACAGAATGCAATGTTCACTCAGGCTGGAAGTCAACAGATCTGGGCTTTGTTCCCAAACATGCACAGGCTTCTTGTGTAGCCTTGGCTCACAGCTTACAGAGTCAATTCCAGCTCAAGACCACCATCTGGTACTTTAGGAGAAACCACAGAAACTGGGAACCAATAATGAGCTTTTCCCTAAGTATCTGGTTTTGTCTGGGGGAAAAGAACTGCTTGTGAATAGGTTTTAATGCAACTGTAAGAATTATTGATCCTTCTTTTTTCTTCTTTTTTTTTTTTAATTTTTGGGAGAAAAAATGTTTGTGGTATTTCCAATGTTGGTTGTTTTTTTTTTTTTAAGGATTAACATTATTCACAAAATGAAAAGGGGGAAGCAGTAAGTGTGTTAGTATCCCTTCCTCTTGGACTGGTAGAAATTGAATTGGCAGAAAACTAAGGAATATTTTTTTTCTTCAACTAAATTATTTTTTTTCCCTGAAAACCAGCCTTTTATAGTTAGGTTAGAACAAAAATGTCAGTTGTTTTCTTAGTCCCAATAACAACAGTAATACAGCTCCCTTTTGATAGCAATGCTACTGCAACATAAGTAAACAAACAGGTGTACATATAGAAATTAGCAACGTGCAGATATTAGTAATGTCTGGGAGGTTTTGTTTGCATTTTTTTTCAGGAGATCTGAATGCTATAAAAAGCATCATTTCTATTCTTTGGTCATCAAGTATAAAGTTAACATGTACACATCATATGAAAAGACAGGCTTTTGCAAGATACAAGTTAACTGTGCAGGCTTGCATGATCTTGGCCTAAAAATGATTACAGGAAACAAAAATTTCTTCTAGTTTCATTCACATTAAAGTGATACTTGCTAAACAAGATATAAGTATACTTATTTGATAATTTCTGTGCATAATATCCAAGTTTTGGACTCGGAATAAATATATGAAAAGAAAGTAAAATTTTTGAACATAAAGCAACATCAGAGAACAACTGGCTCCTGCAGTCTAATGGACCAAAAAGTGTAAACTTTTTACTGCACTGTTTAAGGGTGTGCATAAGCAGAAACTTCTGGCAGGCCAGTTTATTACTGGTGTATGGATTATTCTTAAATCAAAATCAGAGATGACTTATACCAGGTGGTATTTGAATTTCAGATATAAAAAGTAATGAGGAAGACGTGAACCAGAGAAGTAATTGTCATTCTGAGAACTGAACTCTCCTTCTTCTGCTGACTTTTTCACACATTTCTCCCATGCACATTCAGTTTGATGCTGTTAAACTTTGTGGTGAAAGCTTTTTTTCCTGCCTGTGCCTAAGCTATTTTTCCCTTTGGTTCAGCATTGTGGAGCAGAGAAGGAATATCCAGAACTCACTGCTTAATGTGCAGCCCCGCCCATGTGCCTTTTTCTTGAATATCTTTTAGCATTTGATATTGCTGTTGAGCTTCAGGGATTCTGATGGTGCCCTCCTTGTGAGCAGGCTGCAACTTAGCAGGCAGATGGCTTTTTATAGTAAGAGTGATAATTTAGATACTGTACCTAGCATATTTTTTTTATTTCTTGTTTGATGTTTTCACAGTCTGCAGAAAGCAATACATCTAGGCATCCTTTCCTATGGAATCTCCTATAGACATTAGAGCTCCTGGGACTGTTTCCTATGGAAAAAAGACATGTAGCATGCAGAAGTATCCTCTGTGCCTAGGCACAGTATGTTTTGTAGTCCAGCTAAGTCTGTAAACTGTTGAGTTTAAATAAGAATGTTTACTTAGGTGAAAATGTTTTTTAATGAGATCAGCTCATACTTCATTGCATTCAGGAAACATCACTGGAAGGTCAGTCTGAAATTTGTGAGAGAATTTGGTTTGATGTTGTATTTCCAGCTTTTTGTGCTAAATCCATTGCCTTATACACATTTCTGTGAGAGTTGGTGGCAGACACCAAAGCCTCAGCTGCTCTGTACATTAGTCAGAAAACTCCCGCTTAAATACCACAACTCTTCATTTATCCCCAAAAATACACAAAAGAAAGGAAATTGCTGGACACCCTTCTGTTTTGAATTGCTTTGTTGTCCATTCCTTTCATCACATAAAAAATACAGAAAGACCTCCAGTTGTTCTCCAGATACCCTGCAGTATTACAAGCCAATTAAAATTGGTCTTGCATGTACCTCTGATTTAAAAGCCAGGAGAAAAATGAGCAGGATTAAGTTTGGCCTGAATGAGCATCCCAGTTGCTCACCTCACACATGTGTCCTCAAAAGGCTTCCAGGTTACTACACAGGTCTGTGAGTGAGTCAGGTCCAAAGTGACCCCCTCTCACTGCTGTCATGCTTTAGCTACACTGGGAAATAATAAATTGCTTTGTCCTGCTCAGAGCCATTCAGCACTGCTGAAAAGAAGCTCTACAAGGCTGGTGCTGTGTCACGACACAGCACAAAAAACTCATTGCCAGAATATGATCTCTTACCCCCTTACTCAAGGCAAGCATGCCTTTTGCTGACATGCCTTCTGGACTGATTTTTGGGGCACCAAAGTCTTGTCACAAAGTCACAAACCAAAACTGGTTTGTGAAAACTGGAAAATATGCAATAGACTACAAATCCTGTACTGGTAAGAGGAGAACCTGCATGAATACACTGGGGAACTTTCAGACTGAGCTTATTTATATATGTGTGTTCAGTTTGGGAAGCTTGTGCTGAGCCATAAAATCCAGTATTGGTGAGTGAATGTTGGGCCAGTAACTGTAGGTGGAGAATCTTACTTTTCCGTTGCCTTGTATTTTTTGTATTTTTTTTAATTACTATTGTTATTTTTTGCCCATGGACTGCAGGTTGTTTTGAACAAGTAGCTGTTGTACTCTATACCTGTAAAGTTTCTGACACATTTCCTAATGCTATCTATTACTATGGTTACAGTTATTACAGTTTTTCTCTGCCTCTCACTAATCCTTCAGTCTGTCAGTGTGGGCAGCTGCTGTTAGCAAGTTCACTTTTATACAGTTTCACATATTTCTTGGAAACTAAAGTTTGGTAAGCATTAGAAACAGAATTCATATCTAAATGACAGTACTAACAGACAGGAAAACAGCATGTTGTAAATATTTAAAGTACAAATATGAAAAATACGCTTCTCATTCACTCTTTGCCATAAATATTTTTTGTCCTATTGGCTCTGACACCAGACTGGCGTTCTTTAATCATTGTCAAATTGAAACTGAAGTTAGTTGTCTTGGGTTGCAATGCAGGATGTAACCAAAAGTATGTATTCTATTACCATCTGTTAAAACTTGGTGGCTGTATTCTTTATCTCTTCCAGACCCATCCTTCCTCCAGGGGGATATCTTCTGTTAATGGGCCATTGAGCCTCACTGCATGACTGATAAAATTACATCATCCCATTGTGAGATGCTCCACCCAGGGGGAGGAGCCAAGCATTCCTGGATATAATCTGAGATTTGGAACACTGCAGGCAGCCTTTCTCCACTGGATTCCCAGAGGAAGACAGGACCCATCTACACCAGCACTGGACCTTCAGAGAAAAACTACACCTTTCTACAGGATCACTGCTTCAGCAGAACCACACCTCTCACTCCAGGAGGACTGCAGCCAGCACCCAGACCAACAGGGTGTCAGACTGCATTCTGACTCTGTGTTTTTATTTTGAACTACTGCATTTTTATTTTTATTTTCCTAGTAAAGAACTGTTATTCCGATTCCAATATCTTTGCGTGAGAGCCCCTTGATTTCAAAATTATAACAATTTGGAGGGAGGGGGTTTACATTTTCCATTTTAAGTGAGGCTCCTGCCTTCCTTAGCAGACACCTGTCTTTCAAACCAAGACATTAGTGCAGGAGCAAGGAGTGAAATCTAGAATTTGGAAGGAAATGAGCTACCAGGCCAGGCAGGCACCAGGAGCACCTGGCTCAGCCCTGCCCAGGGCTGGCAGACCTACCCGTTGGCCCCATCCATGCAGTGTCCCCCATGGAGGCAGGGCTGGCTGGAGCACTCGTCAATGTCGGTGTCGCAGAGGTCCCCGAGGAAGCCCCGCATGCACAAGCAGGAAAAACTCCCCAGGGAGTTGTGGCAGGTCCCCCCGTTCAGGCATGGCTGGGACAAGCACTCATCGATTTCCACCTCACAGTTTGTACCTTCAAAAGCAGAGAAAATAAACCCCAGGCTTAGGAGACAGCTTTGGATATCTCAGCAAGAACTGCCTGAAGTACAATAGTCACATAATCCTTTTTTTTTCTTTATGCAGTTCCCTGGTTTTTAAAGACATTTCCTCCTCAATGTGCTTTGCATATTGTTTTCAAGGCTTGGCAGAATTTACAAAAGAACAAGCCAGTTGTTTTCACAAGAATAGGTAAAAAACCTTTTTCTGTTAGCTTGAACATGGAGACAGGACAAACTAATTTTCAGTTTATTTAAACAATGCTACTATCCTTTTTACATAGTACAAAAGAGAGAGACCAGCAGTTTATTGATCTCATACGAGTCCGTTTAAAGTTGGCTTTTAAATGGACCATTCAATGTTGACTGAATTCATTGGGAAGTGTATTGTTTAGCAGTGGATTATTGATTAATTTTTTTAAAGGCATATCAATGTGCAAGTAAATGGGTGCTCTTCAGAGATAATTGCTGGAAAAAGATCAGTTCTTATATGACTTTACAGTTACTTGTGATAGTTGGCAGGTTAAATATATGCTCCTTTTTCTTATCTATAGCACAGTCCAGGAGACACTAAGAAAATTTAATAACTAATGCCTTGTAGTTCTGATTATTTCAGGGTTTTGCATCCTTATGCACTTATTTGGTGTTTTGAGCAATACAGTAATATTTTCAAATAATTTTCAACTGCCAAGTCAGTTTGTTTTAGCAGCTACAATATCAGCCACAAGACAGATGCAAAGTGGAGAATTATAACGAAGAAGCTGCTTTGAAGTGAATTTCCTTTTTCTTATTTTGGCCTTATTTACTGCTCTCGAAGTAGCAGCAGTATTGAAAAGTTTACAGGGGACTTCCCTACTTGAAAGAAAAACTACAGCCTTGAGAATTGGTTAATTTTTTTTTCCTTTTTTTGTAAAAGTGAAGTTTTCAGTACAAGATGGTAGGGTAGACTTTCAAAAGAGGGAACAGGCGTGTTTGATGATGGGTATCACTCTTGCAAGTTATTTAGGAGCCCACCTCTAATTCCTTGTTTATGCTCCTTTTGTCAGCTCTGTACTTCTGTGAAATTTGTACATTGTAACTCTGAGTGTCTTTCTTAAAACAGAGATTGATAATATTTAGCATTGTTACTTCATGAATAATTTATTTTGATGCTTGTGAGCATCTTTGCTTTGAAAGAGTAAATCTGGATAAGTACCAGGAAGTATCTTAAAATGCCAAACCCAAAATTGCAGATGTTGACTCAACTATTTTTCATTGTCTTCAAACATTAAAGTGCAAGTTCCTATTTTCAGCAGTTGAGAAATAGCTCCTTGAGACCGCATAGTGGATGGGGAAGCTGCCAGTGGCGTGCCCCTAGTTCAAGGTTCATTGCTCAGCTAACCACTACTTTCAGCAGAAGCCTGCCACAAGAGCCCGGCGCAGGAACTGTCTCTTTCGGCTTTATGGTAATGTACATTACAGCCAGATATAGTAAGCAGTCCCTCTGTGGTCATTGCCCTGTGAATTCACTGTAATTATAAACAATGTGTTTGCAGAAGTGTGTCTAGTGACCGTAAATCTGCCAGAGCTTGTTAACAGCTTACTGTGAACACTAAAAATCATGTGACAAAACAAGCCCTGTTCAACTGATCCTCAGCTCAGCCAAATTTAAAACTACAGGCCTGAGAACAGCCTGACAATTAACATGAGAACATAGCGTTGTTGTTTTGGTTCATGTCTTTAATCTATCAAGCCCAGTAACCTGCCTTCGGCAATGTTGCCTCAGAAGAAAACTTCTCCCTGTTTAATGCATCCAGCCAATGCAATCTGCCATGCAGACAGGGGTAATCCCTTCCTAGCCTCCTCTGAGTCTGCTGTCAGGCTTTCTTAGATGTGTAGAAGAGAGATTAAAAGATTAGATCTGCATTTTCACCTCATTCTAACATTCTGTCATAAATATGCTGTATGCCAAATATCATATGCCAGGCAGGAAGGAGAGCACCACGGAGCCCTGCTGCAGTTATTGCACAGGGATGCACCACCATGAGCTGAGGCACCCCGAGGTATCTTGGAGCAGGCTGAGCATCCCAGCACATACATCCCACACAAATGATTTGAATTGGAAAGGTGGGAAGGTGGAGAGAAGTCACATTTGTAACTTTTGCAGTTTCTTTGAAGAACCAGGGTTATTTCTTACACTGCTTGCTTCTCCAATGAGTTCTATTGTGCACTTCTTTCTACAGTCAGTAACAAGAAAATGAAAGTGAGGATGAAGGACACACAGCCAATGTTTTCAAGCCTGCATGCCTACAGATAGTGTAAAATCACTTTCTGGTCAAAGATACTAGGGATTTGCAGGCTCAGTGTCCTTCCGTGGGGACCTGCACATTCTTAGTATGGCTGGAAATTTGTAACTAGGTCACCCTTTCTGCTCTCCTGCACTAAAATGCTATACTCGGGCCCAGCAGGTCCAGAGGGCTGTCCCCAAATTCCTCATTCTGTATAAAGTATCCTTGTGTGCCATTATTTGGATGGAGAGTATCACATGGCTATTTTATAGGCACCAGGATTGAAGCAACGGGAAGAGAGTTATATCAAAAATTAGACAGAGGGAGAAGTTGTGTTTCTTTGATCAAGGCTTGACCCTTTTGGGTTTGGGCATCTCAGCAGAGCTGAATACCTGAGCTGGCTAGGACACAAGGTGGGGAGTGCTGGTTTGAAAATGGAAAGCTGAGGAAGGAAGCAGACTTTGCACTGCTGGTAATTGCTGTTAGATAGACCATGTTGTTTGCTATTACATCCACAATGACGTGGACATGTAGGGAGCTCATTGGGAAGTGATATCTCTACTTGGGGTTTTTCATCCCATGCTAGAGCTGCTGTGCCTCTGCTTGTCTTGAAGTGCCTAAGACTTATTTATGATGCATCTAGTCTTAATATCTGCATAGCACATACATAATTGATGAGAATACTGAATGAAAACTTGGAGATCTATCAGGAGTAATTTCCTCAAATTCTACAGACGTCATCACAGTGATAGTTACCTCATAGCAAAAGGTATCGCACAAAGAACAAATCCAACTCATTGCACCTATTTTGTCTGCCACTGAAATGCTTTCTCCTGCTGTCTTAGACTGGGACTGGGTTTTGGAACTGCCATGCACTCCTAAGAATTCACACTGTTCACTGGCAATGGAAGACTGGCTTCAGCAAGGTAATTAATGCACTTAGCTGTGGGTAATAACAGGCTCTTACACCATGCTCTGCTGGGGTGAATTAAAAGCAAGTGCAATTAGTCCAATGGAGAAAATGCAGTTGATTAGGGTAGCCAGAGAAACTTCAATAAACCAATTGAACTTCATTATTTGATGTCTGTGTGAAACATGTCTTGTAAATAATTTCACACATGCAGAACATTATCATAGAAACTGCAGATTTCATGCTATATTTTCCAGTCTTGGTGCATTCAAACCTCTTCCATTTGCGTAAGAATTATGTGTGACATTTCTCAGCTATTTTAAGAAGTGCTGCAGCATACCAAGCACAGAAAACAGCAGTCACAGTCCGTGAAACAAGTAGCAACAGCAGCCAGTAACTCATGCATTTGGTTAGCATTGCAGCTATAGATTTACTATACCTTCTTTACCTCCATATCAAGAGATATAACCCATTTTTACATCTTAGGGAAATGAGAGGAGGCTGGATGACTTCCCACGGTAATTCATGGTGTCAGGCCAGGATAATAATGGTTGGCATAATCCCCTGACAGGGTAAATGAGGGGTTTTATTACCACTGGGGACAACTCAAGGCTTTCATCCAGTAATCCTTCTGGCTTGTGCATTTAGCACAACTCACAGCAAGGTGCAAAAAAACCAGCAAAAAAGAATGCTTCTGATAAATCATTTTGTTAAGTAGCTTTTTTCAGCTGATGTTTTACTGCTGGAGGAACGGTCTGCTACTCCTCTATAGAATTCCTATGATTAGTCTCTTTGCTGCTGGAAGTAGTATCAGAGCTGTATGTCAAAACACTGTAGCCCCTTTTGCTGTGTATTTTAGATCTCTTCTCCTTCCTTAGTCCTCTTCTTATTTCTTAACTCTGCTTGTGCAAAGTGTGGAGCTTTAGTGACTTTTTTTGGTGAGAGAAAAGAGCATCAGCTTGGGAAACAGCAGAATTTCATGATGAAAGTAGAGCAACACCAGCAGGGTGAGTTTCCATCCTCAGTTTGTGTTGACCTAAATTTTTATTTATTTTTGTTTGGACTTTACTATTTCATTATGTTTTTTCTCCCTTTGTCTCTAAGGTATATATTCTGACTCTCTCAAACCAAGTTTCTGGGCTGTGGATCCAGGCCCAGACCCCACTAACAGCGCCAGTTAAACGAATACAGTTTCCTGAATACAACAGGAGGTCTGGGCTGAGTCTGATCATTGCAGAGTAACCATGCTGGTTGTTAATAGGTTTTTCCTTCCTTCTTCTCGTCGGCTTTCCCCCAGTTGTGTAGTTTTCTCCTCAGCTGGCCTGGGCTCCGACACCTCCTGGCAGCAGCGGGGTGGCAGGAAGGTAACAAGCTTCCTTCAAATAACATTCTCTGTGCTCATAAGGGATATTAACCACGGGCTGCCTTCCAACAAGAGCTGGGTTAGACACAGGAAAGCTGCTTTTTACCTCTGACTTCCCCTCCTGCATGGGGATTTGGGGATGGAGCTGTAAACCACATCTCTTATTTCTTATTCATTTGAATCACTTGAAGAAATAGATGGTTTTTTCTCCCCATTTTGCTGTATGACTATTTGTTTTCCTTTGCTTACCTGATTGGAAATCTATCAGTAAATTATTTCTTCCCTTTTCTTCTTTTAATGATTCAGTGTGCTACCTCTCACAGTCCTGCCCCTAAACACAGCTTTGAAATTTGAAGGGAGCTGTCTTCCAACAAGAATTATATACTTTTCAGCAGAGGAAGTAGGGAAGAAAAGTCACACCTGTACCTTAATGAAGCTACACAAAATGGGATTATCAAAAAGCGGGCAGTTTTGGAACATAACACTTTTCTATATAACTTACATAATGTTCTAGTTGCAAATGAGTCCTTTGTTTCTGGGAAGGGCAGATGAGAGAAATTTAACGTGAAATGTCTAAGTTTAAGGGTAGAATTTGTCTACTTGGATCTAATTTTTAAATCTGTCAAACATAGGTTTTGATCTTCAGAAAAAAACTACATACAGCATTCCAAAGAGAGCATTTTGAGACTATTTCTTTTTAAAGCAAAGGCCACTTAGCCCTGTGACATAGCTTGGTGTTCACAAAACTGCTGTGTATGTTTTGGTAAATGTGAGATTTCTTTAATCCTTCTCTTTCTGGTATCAGTAGTTCACAGTGATGTGGTTATCCGTAGTCTATCAACAGCCACTGGTGCCGAAGCTGAAGGCAAGGTGGTAATACAGATATGGCTAAATACACGTGTGGGAAAGGGAGTTGAACCTGGAATGTGAGTTACCATGGTTCTACATGACCTAAAGGAAAAGTTGCTTTAATAGGGCTTACCTGTGTAGCCAAGGGGACAGATGCAGTCATAGTGCCCTATCTGGTTGAGGCACGTTGCCCCGTTCAGGCACGGGTCTGAGGCACATTCATTCACTTCCAGGTCACAGTGCTTGCCCTGGTAGCCTGGGACACAGTAGCAGAAATATTCGTCCACGCCATCCCTGCAGAGGGCTCCGTTGCGGCACGGCTCAGAGATGCACTCATCCAAATCTCTCTCGCACAGCCTCCCGGTGTAGCCGGCACTGCAGAGGCAGGTGGGCCCTGCCAGGCCACTTTGGCAGGTGCCTCCATGCTCACATGGATTGGTGTCACAGTCACTGTCAGCTCTTTCACAGGTAGGTCCATTATACCCAGCAGGGCACTGGCAGGGGAAGCTGAGGTTTCCAGCAGAGCCTAGGCAGGTAGCGTTTTGGAGACAAGGGTTTGAGGAGCAAGGGTTGGAGGTTTTGTTGCAGAGCTCCTCCACGCTGTCCACTGATGCATCTGCACAAAGGCAAGGGTCATCTTTATGACCAGCAACACATGTAGAGTTCTTTTGGCAAGAGTTTGACAGGCACCTGGAATCATTCCTCATGCAAAGTGATTCTAGGAAAGAAACACAAAAAATCCTGAGGACTTCCACAGCACTGGGAGTAACCAACAGTGAAAGAAGTAGTTCATAACACAACTGTGCTTCAAAACCAACAGCTCCAATTGCTAGCTATTGAGAAGAAAATAGACTGCCAACTGTGTGATGCATTAGTGAACTAATGAATATAAAATGAAAACAATTATGAAAACTTGAGTAGGTTGTAATTTCCTGTTCTCGCCTCTTTCAGCAGCCATGGTCTAGAGTGTCAGGATAGTTTAACACTATATTAAGAGTATAGTTGAGACAATATTGGTTGTTGTCAACTGATGTCCAACTATATGGAAGAATTTAGGTATCTTTGGTTTTGTTTCTTTTTTTTTTTTGTTACTAGGGAAAGGAGATGAACCACTTTTTAGTTCAATACCACCTTTGTGGTGGTACCATTATATTGTGGTGGATGTTTTTTTTTGCATTGGGTTTCACAAGCTAAATTACTCAGATGCAGTTATAGCTCAAATAAACAGTTCAAACCATCAGGCATCCTAATTTTGATTTGCTGATTATAAATACTAATATCACAGGTGTACAGCATCTCCACCTCAAAGAATCTACTGAACACCTGAGATGCAAAACAGCCCTGTGAGAGCCTTTCAGCCTCCATGGCTGGAAGGACACAGTGAATATGGTGTAAAGATGTTCCTTACTTCTTTACCCTCTGGGAACTGAGCTTCTGTCAGTAATTAAAGGCCACTTGGAGTTGCCTTGCAGCTGTAAATAATAACAATAGCAAGAGCTACTTCTCACTTCACAGTCAAGGAGGATGAGCTGTTACCAGCCCTGTTCAGAATCCACCTCTGGGGTACATTGAAGCAGCTGTATCTGGGCCAAGACTCTGTGAAATGAAGCTGAATGTTCCTTTAGGAGAGAAGGCAATTTGTAGGAGAAAGACTTGTGAGCTGGAGCACAAAAGTTGCATTGAATTATCTGTATGTAAGTCCTGTAAATATATTTTTTATTATTTTTTATACTTTTAATCAGGAGTTTTGTTTGGCTATATGAAGGGTATTTGTCTTTTACAGCAGCAGAATAGTGTGTTTGTGCAAACAGGGTGTTTTAGATGAGCTGAATTTCTCAAAGGAATTCAGATCCATCTACCAGCAGTCTCTGATTTCTTCCCAGTGCTTGAACTGAAATTCGGGAGAGCAGACACAGTGGAGATGGAGACAGGGCACTCGAAGAGAAGTGGTGAGCAGAGATGGAGACTCCAATAACTGGAGTTAGACCAATGCTGATAAAGGCCTGGGACAGATCCCTGGAAAAGGGAGAGGGTAGGGTTGGTCACCTGAGGATAACAACCAACCAAGCACGGGGGAATGTGGAGGATACAAACTGACTAATCGTGGTATGTTTCCATAGTGTGCATTTTAATATATAATACAATTTAATCTGTTTTTCTCCTAGGAGGGGGTAGTGGAGGAAGAAAGTATCAGAAAGCTTAACCAGCTTAGGAAAGACTGCTTGTGTAGATTTGACACTAAGATAATAAATGGAAAGGCTGAAAAATTGTCTGTGCATGACTGTTATGCTTTCTGACTTGAGGTGTACACAGGAGCAGTAGTAGCTCTGAGAATTAGAAACACCAGTCTGAATGAACTTGATGTTCATGAATAGGTACATTTACTGAGCCAAATAACTAATTAGTACTTGTTTGAACAAGAGGAATAGAGATTTATGTAGTAACATTGATAGCAACAGTGACACCAAGATTTAAAACCAACAGTGGTGTTAAGGACTACATAGAAAGTAAGCTAAACATTGATTAGTAGGAGAAGAACTGGAGTGTTACCTCATGTTCTCTGAAGGAAAACAGGACAAAAATAGTACTTTTGGATTAGCCTGCCTTTAAAATTACCATCCCCAAACCTGTTAGCAATCAGTTTTGGGAGCAGGTATTTCATCCTGATGCAGTGTTGGTTGCACTTGCCCCAGCTCAGAGCTCTCACGGAATGCAAAAATTCAAGACATTGGTCACATGTGCTGACCTGCACCACTTGTAGTAATTCAGACCCTTCTCTTCCTCAGCACACTCTCATGGATGTTCTGATGTCCTGGTTTACATAATTTTGTGCTTTACCCATGAATTTAGTTTTTTTCTTTAGCCTGGATGATGCAGAGCTTACCGCTATATATTAATTACAGTTAAAATGAGCATAACTGTGTTCCTCGGGAATGTCCGCATTCTGCATTTTCCTTGCACAACTTTAGGGAGCTTTCCTTTCAGTCTGTGTACCTACTTAAAATTCATTAAAGTGCATGTTTGGGGAAACATTGCAGATTTGAAGAAATTAATAATGATCAATTTATAATGTTGTGTAACTGTGGTACTGTGTAAGCTACAGGAGGTGAGGTCAATCATTTGAGTGCTTTCTTACACAGGACCACGGTGACATCAGAAGGAATTTAGTTAATTATTACTGCTTTTTCAGAGATAATTTGCATGCAACAGGCTCAGTTTGTTATAATGACTGTGTGAGGACATGACGCATTTGCCAGTCTGCAGTTTTGATAGCAAGAGCAGCTGTGAGCACTGGTTAAAAACCTTCATAGCTCTCTAAGGCAGTAAGAGTGGAGGGAAAATGAAGGAAGGGGAAAGACAGCCCTAAAATCATTGTCTGTATGTAGTGAAGCCAACCAATTTTTCTCCAGGGTGGCATCACTACGGGAAAAACATGAAACAGCAAACTTCTCCTTTTTTTTTTTAAGCACTATTTTAATTTCAACTTTTGTAGCTTTTATAAAATTAATTTCTTATGCAGAAATTGCCAACAGAGAATTCAATAAATCCAGTACTCCCTAGAGATTACTCTTTTCTGATCTCTACTAAAAGTTTATAATGAAAGAGCAACATTTTTGGCATTCTGTCTTTATTCTAATGCACTCTGCCATGGTTTTTATTATTTGTATAGTTTTTGAGCAACACAAGAGTTCTGAAAGGTCTTAGCAGAGATGTAACCATGCTGAGTTATAACTTAGTTGTGGTTTAGAGGCTGGGGCAAGAGTTTAAGGGTACTCTATAGCAGTTTGTCTCAGCAGTAAAACTGCATCTCAAAAAGTTGATCATCAAAGGTATGCAGTTATCATAGCATGGTTATTGAATGGTATGAAGTTCACCTGGACATTTCCATGATTTTTTAAAATTTTTTTAATGATGTTCCTGAATGATGTGTCTCAGCTAATCCTTGATTCTGGACTGCTAGTTCAAACACCAATTTCCACCTATTTCTGGTGAGTTATTTGCACTACCTCCCTCGCTGCCCTGTGGAAACTGTGTTTCCCTGCTGCTGTGGAGTGATGTGGAAGGATAGATTTGTCAACCTCCTGAGCTGAGTGCTGCATGGAAGGAGAGTGAATGTATGAGCGTATAATGTGAGAGTATGGCAGGTGGAAGCTCCTGCATGCCATGTGATGCATGTGATGATGCAAAGAATGTTTCAGTTTAAGCAGATGCCTAAAGAATATTCTCTTCTGCATTTACAGACAGAACTGCAAAGGGACAAAAATGTTTCAGTGGAGCTTGGTTTTTGGCCAGGTTGTGGAAGGATAACCAGGAAAAGCCTCATGCTCTACCTCAGATGTGCAGAAGAGTCGTTTTTCATTCCTAAGCAATTAAGGTCACTTCAGCAATGACTTGTTCTGACAGAGTCTTAAAACTTGTACATAACGTTAGGAAAAATGGAAATAAAATGCTGATTGCTTTGGATTTACACTGACTGACACTTGAGGTAATTATCAGTCTCTTTATAAATAGTGGTACATTAATCTAATTATGAGAGGATTTAGTGCCAAGCGTTTTGCCCCATGGTTAAATCCTTGAGATGCAGATGAGATGGTTTGCAGTGAAATTCTTTGCAGTAAAGCTTGCCATCTACTGGCACATCATCCATACTACCAGAAACATGGCCATACCTGCAGCTATTGCAGGAACTGGCACAAATAACTTAATGTAAGAAATGCCAAGAAAAAGACAGTTTTCACTTTGGTTTTTTGCTCTTGGATAAGATTATTTAAAAATTATTTAAATTCATTGAAGTGATCTTGTTAGTGTATGAATAATTGAGCTTACACAGTTAATCAGCACTAAAAATGCATTCTTTTGGCTGTAAAGGCTTCTGAACTAACAGAAATTACTGTAGTGATACAAAACAATTTTTATGATGTTAGAAATGCATGGCAATGAGGATACAAGGCCAAAATTGAATTAAGGAAAAGTTATTATAAACAGGGCAGGAATTTTGAAATGGCCAAGGCATTTTGGCACAGATAATCTGATGGTTAAACTCAGTTTGTTCCTCAGTAAAGCAGCTAATTTTGAAAAGCTTACCTACATATATTTCCTGACAATTTCAAGCAGTTTTTTTCTCTGATCCTGTTTGAATCAGAGATTTACTGAATTCATGTCCATTTTTCAAAATATTCTTCTAAGTTAAATTGATAAGATTAATAGTAAAGTGAATTGATGAACCCAGATTCTGACCATTACCAATCTCAGCCACTCAAAGCCCCCAGATAAATCCTTTGCAATCTGTTTTGGGTTCTTTGTGTCAGAAATGTCTTTCAGCGAAGACTTGTTCATTCAAGACACGACTCTTCCTAAGTGTTGGTGAAATATCATAATCAGTGACAGCATTCAAAATTAAATTTCAATCACTGCTAATCACACAGTTATGAACCAGAGTCCACTTGGCTGTGGCCATACCTGCACTCTTCTAATCATCTCATTGTGTCTGAAGGCTGCTTGTGATTTGCAGTGCTGTTCTTCAACTGTGCCTTCTGCCCTTGAAGGAGGACTATGAGTTTCACAGAAGCTCTCAACACTAACAACTTTGGAATCTTTTACATATGCTGCAAGATTTTCTTAAGAGAGTTTTCTTAACAGAGCCAGTCTATTTTCTAGGGGGGGAGAAAATCTAGGATAAGATAGAGAACTTCTTGATACCCACATAGTCATCATCACTGATGATTTTACTATGCTTTGAGGACTTTTCTCCTTTCCTTTTTTTTTAACAAATAGTTATTAATTTACACATTTGAATTAAAACTGGGGAGCTACACAAGCCAGTGTAGATAAAGCAGGTCACAACAAAACCTGACTTTTTACTAAGTCATACATTTTGGGGAAAAAATGGATAGCAAAATCCCCCTGGTCTATGAGTTGAGACATTCAATTTCAAAAATACTCTTAAGGCAAGAAGGATTGAGTTGCAATAGCAAGATGTTTGGGTGTATAAAAAAACCCCTACTCCACCATCAGAAAATGTGTTACCTGCGAGTTTGTTTTTTTGGTTTTGGTTTTTTTTGTTGTTGTTTTTTGTTTGTTTTATTTTTTTCTTAATTTGTTGGAATGGCATATATAATTGACATATTTCTGGTGGTCAGTCACTAGAAAGAAGACCAGATCGAAGCAACCACTTCTCTTAATGCTGTTACTTCAGTCTGGATTCTGTTGAATTAAAACCAGCGTATAGCATTTGTTCACAGCTAAAGGCTTACATTGTGATCAAATCAGCTCACCAAAAATGCCATGACGGTAGCGAGTTTAGATAGCCCAGTGGCTTGGAGTCAGAAACATGAACCTTCAATGCTCATGCTCATTACTTGTTTGAAACCTGTCCTTGAGAGTTTAGAACAAGTGTGTGAATCTGTGTCACTGAAATATCAAGCTCTGTTACTATACTGAGATCTTGAAATAATTATCATTTAACTGGAAATTTTAAAGTATTGCCCAAGGCATTTACTGCTGCATTGAGATGCTGTGGCTTTGGTGTAACTAATCCTCTCTCCATTTATCTGCAGTGCACTGTGACACAAAAAATACAGTTCATCACTATGACAATAGCTTCACTCCAAAGACAGCCTTAGAAAGTTGTGGATGTGCAGATAGGTGTTCAATCTTGAGATATCAAGAGGAACTAAGGAAGAGATAAGCACAGCTGCATAATCAGCAGGGACAGAGATTGGGATCAGGTACCTTTACAATGGACTGAAAGGCAGAGATGTCACTCCTGCATCAGCATTTGGCAAATGGGGAAGGAAAGGATAGGAAACCATGTTCTGGATAAAACAGAGCTAGGTAAGGGGCTATCTTAGCCCTCAAAATAGCTTTCTCATGTAAAAAAAGAATTTCAATTTTTCCACACAGTCTCAGACTCTATGTGTTGCACTAATACAATTTTACCCTTTCCCATCTCCCATACATTTGTATTACTGTCTTAATTAATCACTATAATGAGCAGCTTGTAGTTACTATGGTGCCATTTGTCCTTTGCAAGCTTCACATGTGAGTAAATCACCATCCTTCAGACGCCACCTGCTCTATCCACAGCTGGAATCATTATCACTCAATTTGCTCAATGGAAAATCCTACTTTGGGAAGGGATGATCAAACTTTTGCCAAACAAGCAAACACTTGTTGTGTCTGCAACTACTGTGGTCATAAAGAGTTAATCCTTAATCTTTAACTTCAATTGTGTGTCCAAAATTTAAATTTAAATTTAAATCTAGAGTCATGTTTATTACCCTAGTAACCAGCACCACACACAGGCAGGAAAGAAAAAGGGTGGTAACACAAATATTCCATTGCTATCAAAAAAGCCAGATTTGGTTTTGGGTACATTTGTATCAGTAAAGTCAAGGAAAGTAAATTAACTTATTTTCTGCAGAAAAAGTATGGTGTGTTAGTGTAAGAGTAAAAATGGAATAAAAACAATTTAAAAACAATGTTGTTCAGGCAACACTACACGACTAAAGTTATTTGTGATTGAAATTACAGAACTTGTTATTAAACCAGTGTCTCCATTTCACTCTTCCCTAAACTTTTCTGTTCACACTGACTTGCTGTTGGTCCCTGAGAATAAAGGCAGATACTGCTGGCTGTTGTTGTCCTTCACTATCTTTTGACATTTGTGCCACCCCAGACTCCCTTACCCTTGAGCACTGCAGCAGCAGCAGCCCTTAACAGCTGCACCCTCTGTCTGCACTGAGCACCACAGCAATGGCACCAAATGAACAAATTAAAACGAGGTAAATGCCCTCTCTACTTCTAAATGTAAATAATTTTTGGCTTTCACTTTATTTGGCATCATACCCTAGTATTTGTGCTGGGAACAGGAAGAGAATCAGGTCCAGGAGCTCAACAGGGCTCTTATGCATTGAATTTGGAGGATTTTTTGTTCAATTGGACATCAAGGCACAATGCAAATAGACTGGTTTCTAATGAGAATGAAAGATTTTATGCTCTGCTTCTTTACCTTTATGTTTACTACTACTTTATGTTTACTACAGCAGTGCAGTTTAAGGTAGAAGTGTACAATGATCATTCTGCTTTTACTGTACACAGATATTTTTGTTTGTCTAAGATGTAGAGCAGTGTCTGATCAGGCCAGGAGGCAGCTGATATACATTGCAATAAATGATGTGGACACAGATGTAGAAACTGAACTGATTTCTGCTATGCAATCCTTGCTACTGTACATACTCTCTCTGAATGTAGCTCTCCCCTTTAAGAGTTTCATTATATCTGTCCTCATTTTTATCTTCTAAGTTCGCAGAAGAGAAGCGACATGAGCATAATGAGATATTCCTTATCCGTCTAGAAATGCTGAATTTTTTTTTCAGTTGAGGTCACACAGCAGAATTTAGTCTTAATAGTACAGAACAGGATGACTCCATCCAGGGATGTAGGAGATAGATAGGTGAGCAGCAACTGCATTACATGGCAGTGGGAACCTGTGGGCCAGCCTCAAACTTGCCTTTTTATCAGCTCTTCAGAGGTAAAGAACATAGAAAATTTTTTTTTGCTCAAAATCTGAAGCAATTTTATTTAGGTAATAAGCTTGATTGCTTACAGGAAAGACAGTGATTTTGTGGGTTGAATGTCTTTGTCCCAAGGATTCAATCAACACCTTTCCTGCCTGAACTGCTCTTAAGGCTTCATTAAAGCTGGGGACATCCTCAGCATGTAACTCAGGATACAGAGCCATGTGTGTAAAGATGTCTCCTGCGAGTGAAAGGTTTTGCCAGAAATAGAGAGAAAAGCTTAGTGGTTTAGTTAGAGGCGTGAATTATGTCTTACACTTTAAAATGTTATCCTGAATTGGCTTTAATGAGGTTTCTTAGCATACCTAAATGAACTTGTTTGGATGGGTGGATTTTTGGTGCCTTTGTGAGAGGTGCTGCTCCTGCCTTGCTCCCTAAAGCCACAAGCATCTACATCAAGTCTTGTAAAATTAATGGAAGCACAACCTGCTGTTTATAAACCCGATATCAGAACCTGATATTGAGGGGTGCAAGTGGTGCTTGGGAAGAGGAAAGATGAAAGCAGTGCTTGCAGTTGGGAAGATACCAGCTGTATTTGCAGCTGTGCTAGGAAGGAAGGCTAAAATGCACACCTGGGAAGTGGATGTCTGGCAGAATAACAAGGAAAATGGTGCCAGGGCTAGAAAGGGCTGCAGAAAGACCAAAGCATGGTATCTTTCTCTGCATCAATGGGGGATTTTGAGGAACAGAGAGGGGGTAACACAGCATAGAATTCAGTTTGTGAGTTTGGGTGAAATCCAGTTGCTCCTGCTTCTGTTTAAATTCCAAATAGTTGAAAACAGGGAGCAAAGGAACCGTTTGTCTCTTGAAGAGGCCAATCTCACCTTGAGAGACGCAAGATCTCACAGCTTCTCCGGAGTCTGGAAGGAGTTTAAGGCATTTTTGTAAGACAGAGGCCTCCAGCTGCCACTGAGCAGGAGGAGCTCCTGACTCCTCCTGAGTTTATCCTCAGGAAGGAGCTGAGGGCTTGGCTGAGCTCAGGATGCTGCCCCTCAAGCAGACCAACTACTGCTGACTTGCAGCACTGAGTTTGGTTTAGGTGAGAATATGCAAGCAGCTGAGCTCCCACTGTGCTCAACTACTAACACAGGAGAGAAAAACACTCAGAAATGCTGCCAAATGCTGCTAAGAATCCTTCCAGTAGAGGGGCTAAAAACTGAGTACAAAATTGATTTCTGGTCCAAATTCTGTGTTCATGTGTTGTTTGAATTTGAAAGGCATTATAAGACATCTTCAGTCTCCTTCAGCTGTGGTTCTGCCATTCATTACTTCATTCCCTTTCTTAATATGAAAAGGGCATGAAGCAGTGATTCTGATAACACAGTGGCACATAAACATGCTGTGATTTTAAAATGTAGCCTCAAATGCCTGTAACACTGATCCAGGTACAATTTCTTTCTGTGAGTCATAACTGGATAAGCTTAAAGCCCTGATTGATAGAAATGCATCATAGCAGCCTATAACACAGGGCAACCCTTTTAAAAAGTCTCTGGGTGCAAAGCCATGTTCTGATGTGTGCATATGTTGAGATTGCCTGCAGTAGCTTCTCAGTAACACAACTGAGGACTAGGATGTTCCTGAACACATCAAACTACAGCATATCAAAGTCATCATGCTGCTTCTCCTGTCTCCCCAGACTTAAAAGAAGTAATCAGTCCTGTGACAGATCAGCATTATGTGGCTGAAAATGCAGTGCACTCTGCTTTAAATGCCACAGGACTCAAGAAAGCTTCGGTGTGGCTACAATGGGCAATAAGTACAGAGAAAGCAAGGCCATGCTTTTCCAGCATGAACTTTGTAGAAGAGTTCACATTCCAGCCCTTTCTATTATGTGCTAAATTATTTTCAATAGAAATCACCTACAATTAGCTCTGCATGAACTAATTACCAACTGGGATTTCAAGACTGCTTGGGGAAAGTTGCAGCTCCTGTGTTTTGGGACAGGCTGGAGTGTCATGGGGAACTGGTACAACCCAAATTTCCTCAGCTGTCCTGCTGAGCCCCTGTGCTGAGGGCAGCTTCCCCTCAGAGCCAAGGGCATAACTCTTATTGTGGTGTGATCGTGAGCTGCACAAGTTGCCCTCACCGACTTCATACAGACAGAAATCAGTCCCAGGCCCAGCATTATTTATCATTATCATTATTTAGCGTTATTATCATGTCAACTTCTGCAGAGGGCTGGCCTTCTGAACACTAGTTCCAGTGACCCATGAAAGTGAACACAGTCATGGCTCTGACACAAAATCTGTGGCAGCTTTCCTGACGTGCAGACTGTATTGTAGCATCCTAAAAACTCTCCTGACTTGTAACAGAGCAAGGATGAATTTGTTTCATGGTTTTGCCACTTTTTATTTCCAGAGCAGGCTTGGAAGCACTGAGGAGGAGCGACTGACCCAGAAGAAAAGTAGGTATTGAAAACCCACTATATAATTAGGGGTACCTTTCTCTTAAACCGTTTTGAGATGCTTCAGTGTAGAAGTAAAACAAAACTAGAATATTCATCAGCATCAGGGTATGCTCAGGAGCCTTCCCTGAGGAATATGCTAAGAAATAAGCCTTCCATATTAGAAGACTATCAGTAAAAGTCAAATTGTTAAAGCTTAATGTGATGGTGTGCGTTAGAATAAAAACACCAGCCACTAGGGCATTAAATATCTGCTACAAGTGAAGAGGAATCCAGCAAGCCTTTATCAAAATTAGATCAGTAC